CGTCTCGAGGAGCACGTGAGGGAGCTCGAAGACAGCGAGGAGAAGCTGGCTACGGCCAAGCACCGCCTGGAGCGTGAGTTGGGCACCCTGCGCAGCCGCAACGCATCACCGGCATTCCCTTGAATTAAACTGTTTTTATTATATATTTTCGTATAATCGTTTCAAAAGCCTAGCCCACCACGCTTTCCAGCTCCGCCGCCGTACGGCGCCTGGACATGCTTGCTCATTGCTATGTCAAAGTTCTTCTGCAAGTCCTGGTTGATCCTGCTTGCGCCCTGCTTTGTAATGGCCGATTCAAAGGGCGACGACGAGCTTGCGGCTGCTGTTGGCGGCAGAGCGTTGCCGACATTTCTGACCCCCATGAGCCGCAAGAACTTGTTTTTGCGCGCTTCGCTGCCGAGATCCGCGTCTGCCCAGTTGTTCCACCCGGAGACCACCGGAGCCGCCTCCGTCTTTGGCTCGCTTGATTCATCTGATTTGGTGGATTTTGTCTTTTTGCTGTTTTTGCTCTTGGCCTTACTCTTGTCCTTGGAGCCAGACTTGTGCTTTTTGGACGACGGCTCCTCTGTCGATAGGTACTCTGCGCTTCTCTTCTCCTCCTCCTTCTCCTTCTTCTCCTTCTTCTCCTTCTTCTCCTTCTTCTCCTTAATGTTCTTTGTGTCCTTCTTATCCTTCTTATCCTTCTTGTCTTTCTTGTCTTTCTTCTCCTTCTTCTCAGACTTTACCAAGGATGCCTTTTTGCTCTCGTCAGCAGAATCGAAATGTGTGTGTGCGGCCATTGCTTTCTCTTGTCTCCCGTCTCCTGTCTCCTGTGTCCAGTTTAGTAATTTTTGAATTGAAACGAAATATTTAGAAAGAAAAAGTAAAGCTGACAAGGACTAGATCGGAAGCGACCACTCCACATAGTGGACAAGTAGAGATGAAAAGCAAAAAAAATAACTGGAGACCAGGCATACAGCGAGGATGAATTAAATTAAAATTAAAAATGTTACGGATTAGCCTATAAAAAATCAGGAGGCACGAAGCGCATGTCGGTGGACCATGGCCAAGAGCTGGACATGGACCGCCCACAGCGTAAATAGCGTAAATAGCGTAAATATGCCGGAAATATGCAAGTGCGATGTGCTATTGCAACTTTGTCTTATCAAAATTTAGCATACTTTTGAAGTTTTTTTTAAAGAAACATTATTGTGTGTTAGATATGCTTGGTAGTTTTGCATGCAATATTTGGCCATTTATAAATAATAATAAATATATATATCCATAAGTAATCTTCTGCATTGCGAGACACCGCGGTTCGAATATTGCACATCTACCAAACAGATGAATATGAACCGAATACAATTACGTATCAAAATCAAACCAAAAATAGTTTCCAAATCATTTGCCCGTGTCCTTAAATCGTAACTAAACTTGCACACATATATTGACAATATGTGAGCACACCGGTGTGCTTGCAACTTTTATTTATCATTTGTTTGCATATTATTTTATTAGCAGTTTTTTTAAAGTTACATTTTTTAATTTTATTGTTTTCGTAAATATCAAACCACACCTCTTTACCCTTTCCTTTCTGGTCCGGTCGGCTGGCGTTGGCGTTGGCGCTAGCGCTGGTGTTGGCGCTGGTGTTGGTGTTGTTGTTTGTGTACCAACTTCTAACACTCGTCGGGCCCAAGCGGGTGTTGGTAACATTAATTCCCGTGGTTAGCTGGTTACGAAGCTTGTCTAGATTGCCGCGCATCGCCATGTTCACCTTTGCCGTTTTTTGCCGCATATTCGCCCCTAGGCGCCATCAGTTCGGCCAGCTTGGCCATGTTTTCCTTGAACTCCTCAATGCCCAAGTCAAACCCATTGTCCAGCCATAACTTGCAGGCCTCGAGTAGGTCCTTGCTCAGTTGCTCCAGTATCTCGGTGTAGCTGCGAGCCCATCCGCTGTGCGCATCCACCATTTGATTAACATGCCGATCAGCAATGTTCAAGATGCAGTGCACTGACTCGAATGCCAGTGCGTTTGGCTTATCCCACTTATTGAAAAAGGAGGTGGTGCGTTGCTGCTGGTCAACCTTTTTGTCAGATTTTGGAAGCTTGTGGCGAAGGTAGACAGAATTGGGCTCAACAGCATGAGTATGCGTAGTCTCGTAAAGTAGCTTGCGGAGATGATCAGAACAAGCTGTGAGGCCGCCTTCAATTGCTCCACAAACCAATTTTTCCGCCTAGGGGGTGGCAAGCTTTTTTGAAGGTCGTCTCTCTCATCAAAAGCAGCACTGGCGGTAGAGATAGCCCCATAGAGCTGCATACGCAATGCCCTCATCTCATTATCAGCACCATTCGCTGTATTGCCGACCATGTCGAGCTGGTAAGTTGTGCAGCAAGCACTTACAGGCTTGCCAGTTGCGCGGTGTACGTTTCCAGACTCGCCAGTAGATACACCAAGTTGCTCGCGGCAAAAGTTGTGCACTGTTCCCTCCTTGGTGCCGACACTATTGACAGCGGCTATGTTCATGCGAAGCAGCTCATGGAATGTCTTCTTCTCAGCGCTGGAACCATTAGAAATGGAGGTGATAGTTTCAGCAACTAGCCCGTGGAGGCTATGGTTCTAGTAGTGTAAGTCGTTGAGATGCTTGCAGAATGCCTCCTTTTTGGCGGTGGCCTCAGCCTACTCTGCGCGCTTGCATAGCTCATCCATCTCGCGGTGTGCTGCATCAAGATAATTTTAAACCTGCTGGCACTCAGAAACCCTCGTCTTCGCATCGCTGATCAAGGCCATGTGCTCTCCATTTATCTGCTCGAGCTCATGGATCCTATCTTGTGCGATGCTGAAATCGGTATTCACTGACTCAAGGCTTGTGCGTGTTGCATTGACGTAGTCGTTGTAACGCACATCCAATGCCACCTTCCTCTTCTGGGCTTCCGCAGTAATGCGGCGGATTTCGAGGTCCTTCTCTATCACCTCAATAATATTTCTGCCAAGCATTGAGTCTACTGCCTTGTATTTCATTTCCAAGTGCGAGCAGGAAAGGCAGGGTGGGTTGGAGAGAGCATCCTCCAACTTTGCAAGCGTGTTGGCAGCGTGCGAGCGAGGTGTAATGATCCTAGTAGCTTGAAAGAACATAGTTGGATAATAAAGAATGCGTGTGCGTATGTATGCTTATTCTTCAAGTGCTATAAAAAAATTTCAAAAAAAGTGAAGAAATAAAAAAGTAAACAAACCTTGGTAGCAGCGGCCCTTTATTTTCCCGCTTTTTTATTATTTTTCTCTGGATGCCAACGCGACTAATTCATTTAAGCAAACAGGTTTACGCGCGAGTGACATTTTTCAACTCGACACGCTTGGTTGGTAGACACTAAATATCGCCTAATTATTTTTTGAGCTAATGTCACTCAAAATGCAGCTGACTTTTATATTCAGTGATTTTCGAAACCTGCATGATCATACCCGAATTTATAAAGGCAGAAAGTAGACTTAGTCTTTTTAGGCTTAGTCAACTTTTATTTTAAATAATTGGTATCCTTTTGTTCATATCAAGATTTGGAAATACTGTGCATGACTGTTGAATGCCTGTTCCGAATAATGTGCGCTTGAATATATCTGCATATTGTCAGGTTTAATCGAAAATGTGGATATAAATATTGCGATATTGTTGTATAAAAGCGTATCTCCTCATAACACTGTCGTGCTCTATAAAAATGTGGGTCTAAATCGATATATTCAAGTCTTAAAAATTACTTAACTGAAAAAGGGGGCAGCGCTGTGTGGGCAGCGCTGTAAACATCATGGTGTTCCTTGATGTCAGCCAGCAATAACAGAAATGTGTATAGTGGCCATGATGGCGATCTTGATTCTTGAAAAGGGAAGATAGTGGCTTGAAATGTGTGTTGGGCACCACAAACACCACATTATCTTTTTAGTTGTCTGCTTCTGAGTACAAGTATTTTTTTTAAAAAAAAAACTGTTCAGAAGCCATGACAATTGTGCTATCATGTTTAATTTTTGGCTCAAAATTAATGCAAAGAGATATTGCCAGCTTATATGAATGCACGAATTCTGCCATTTTTGTCTATGACAAATGAATCCTCAATGGCTAATGGATAAGCTGATGCTCAAATGGCATAGATGCAAGCACTATTTCTGAACAATAATTCTGTTAGAATAAGTAATTAAAGTAAATACATATCAAGATAATTTATTAACCACTCAACTAAACATATTATTAAAAGCTCCACTGAACTGTCAGACCAGCAAAACAAACTTTAAAACCAGTAGAAACAGTATAAATTTACCCCCACAGGGACATTATTTGCTGCTGATTGGGTACTGGAGACGGTTATCCTTTTCTCCCTCACAAACGGAGACCAAAAACCGTAATGACGTAGTGTTGCACCAAAAAGTATCTGTGACCCAACCAATACGATGACAATTACACACATATCGAATGACTGTTTCTCATCTCAATACCATATCAAGCACATGTTGATTGGAAAGAATATTGCGTTTATGTTAATGTTGCTGTTTTATTTTATCCATATTTATGCCATACCCACATCAATTTGATATATAATATAAATCACCAAAGTGCATGGTATTTTTGTTTGATAAAATTTTAACAAAAATGATTACAGCAGGCGGAAGACAAAACAATTGATCTAACTTATATTGTAAGTTTGCATTCAAAATGATTATCTTCTAGCTAAAACAAAAAATAATAGCCACGGCAATCCATTTTACAATATAAAGATAATTACAAGCTACCATTTCACATTTGAACAATTGTCAATAAATTAAGGTTGCCTGCCTTGCTGTGTGTTCTTTTTCGACTCTCTAATCAGGGTATTTTACAGTCTGTTGCCCAGCTTGTAAAAACATAATAAAATGGCAGATTATTAATTGCGTCAACTTGAATCTAATTTGTTTCTTCGAAAAAGCTGGTCTGCTTGCATTTTGACCAGTATTCTTTAAAAACAAAATATGTCAGTGCGCACTGGGGGGGGGGTGAGTTTATTTGTATTTTGTTTTATTCTTTAGTATTTATGTAACAATGCAAGTCAAGACAAATGATACTATTGTCGTTTAACGATAAAACAAAGTCAAGCATCTAGACTAATATTTGACCTCTACTTGCACAAAAACATCCTGCAACCCAGAAACGTGGGCTCTCACAATGCTTCCAATCTCAAGCGCAACATCACTTCGAACAGTGGTCCCGCAAAGCGGCATCTCATCTCCCGCAGACATCATCCCAGGATCAACCACAACATGCACAATCCCCATGATCTGCTCCTCCGTAATCGGCCAAAACTGCACCCTAGGCATATCCGTAATACAACCGACACTGCACGTAATCTGATTGATGGCTGAGCGCACTTCGATCTGCGAGTGCTCGGGCAGACGGAGCAAAAGCATGTGCATGGAGTCGCGCACAAGCGGATAACACTAGCAATATCAATGCCGCGATAACTATGGAGGCCAGTGGATCGAATCCAGTCACCGAATTGCTGGATGAGCAGGGTTGATATGATAACTACGCTGCCGAGCGTGTCGGCCAT